TTTCCCATCGCTTCCCTCACAGAAAGCAGCTTCTGCTGCATGGGGAGGGAAGGGAAGGGAGCTGTGAAGTGCAAGTTTAGCACATGAGGGAAGAGCATTTCCCACAGTATAGCGAGGTAGTGAGCTCTTGATAAAACTCCCAGCAGTGATAATCTGATTTCCTATGTCAGCCTCTATTTTGACCTCTTGCTGAGGAAAGGAGAGGGCTTCCCTTGGCTGGCTCATCCTCCTGTCATCAAGAAACCAATTTCTGCCACCTGGTTTGATGGCTGTGGGCCCAGGACAGATTACCATCTTCACTCTATCCCTAGCTTTCTCTCTCTTTCCCTCCTCTTGGAGTCTTCTTTTGATCATCTTTTCCCCTCTTTACCCTCCTTAATTAAAAAAAATAAAAACTCACGCAAAATCTCCATTCTGACACATTGTATCTTCCAGACTACACATACATCCCCCATGTTAATTCTTTAGAGGTTAATAGGTTCACTTGCAAAATTTCACTCCCTCTCCTCACACTTGTCTTTCCTACTCTGCCATATGTGTCCTAAAATCTGCCTTTCAGTTTAGGACTTGTTAATTTTCCAAGCAAAAATTTAGCTCTGAAAGCTACATCATCACAACATCCTGGACTTAAATCATCTATGGGAGAGCATAAAGGAAACTTTTCTTGCTTTCTCTGCCTGTATTGATGCAGTAGGACTGTAGTAGGCTTCTCACAGACAATTAGGACAATCATTGCTTAGCTCCAATGTAAATCAGATTACATGCTCAGGTAGAGGATTACTTGCCTGTACTAGTTGTGCTCTTCATGGGATCTGATAAACAAGCCTAGACAGGCTTTCATTGCTGGGTGATATTTTGGATGTAGTCATATATGTCAAAATATACCAAAGACTTTTTGTTAATGGTGAAGTAAGATCATAAAAACTTTGAAGCCACGCAAGTCAACTCATTTTCCTCTCAATTCAGAGTTAAAACCAAATATATGTAGATGTGCATGGGCTGTATTGTTAGGAAATGCTTGCTCCTTATCCTGTAATTTCTGAGGCTGAAACAAAACCTCTGTAATTTTTGCAGTTTTTGCTTAATGCTCAGGAAGTTCTGTTTCATCTCCATATATCTTTACAATGTAAAAAAGCATATGGCTATAATAGCTATACCTAGTACATAATGCCTAAACACAAACCTGCTAGAATGTGCTGGTTTTCTTATTTCTCCATGAATACATCCATGAATACATCTAGTTATGAGATACCACATATCTACTATCAGCAGAAGATATACTAATGTGCAATAAAAACACTAAGAGTAAGGAATCCCATAAGGATATTTCTAGAGCTTATATATTTGAGAAAAATACACTCATATTTTTTTTTTAAATCAACCCAAGTAATTTTATCAGTATGGTAAGTCAGCAATCATTGGTCTTTGATTGGAACAGGCATGTGCATGAGAAGTTTCCTGTAAGTCATGCCAAAAAAATGCCAGTCTGATTTATCAGAATATGGATGTAAATAATGCAATATCCCCCACTTCTTTTTTCTGGCTTATTTTTTTCTTAAAATGTAGAAGCATGTGCATCTTTTAATTATATTTTTTTTTAATGGATTTCCAACAATCAAATATTCTTTTTTATAACACATCACTGAAAAAGATGGTCTGGCTATATTTTTTATTAGCTAATAGCCTTGAGAAGAGGGTTAGGAACTGGGCTACTGAAGGCAGTGAGAGTATACAGCATCAGCAAGGACTGAGTCATTACTTCCTTCTTTTGGATAGAATAAAGGACAGAAACAATTTTTCCTGATGAAATCAGATCACTCAGGTATTTATGTGTAATTACTTAGAAGGTGTCACAGACCTCCCAGTTGTGCTCTGAAACACTTACATGCAAGCCAGCTCCATGAATTACATCAGTCCAGTCTTGTGCACAGCCTGGTAAACTATACTGAGAGCTGAAATATAGGATTTTATGTTCAGCCTTGTGCTAATTTGGTTGAGCATTTCTCAGCTACAGCTGGTTCAGAGCTTGGCCAGAACAAGCAAGTGGCTATCTGCATCTTGTGAAGGAGAGATGAAAGGCAAAAAAAGGGTCTGCACTGTTGGGGGGGGGAGACAATTCATAAGCTTTCTGGCAGTGCAAGCTGGAGAGACCTTTTCTATATATTCAGGCAGCAAGAATAAGGAATGTTGTGGGTTATGCTCCTTATGTATCTCTTTTAATGTGATTCCTCTTGCTTTATGCCAATTTATACAGGCTGAAGTCTAGGAATGTCAGTGATTGATTCAAATTATAAAATAAACAGGGGAGGAAGTTGGTGAAATCTGGAGTTATTTAGGGAAGGGCATCCTTAAAACTGTGTTGCAGTGGGAGGTTGGAGACACGAGCATCTGCTCTGTGGACAAATTTAGTCATAAAACCCGGTTCCCTTATAGTCAGTGGAGCATACCTATCAAATCTGGGCCTTAGCTTGCTTTCTCTCCATGGAGGAATTTCATCTTATTTGAGCAGAACTGGAATTTTGACAGAGATGCTTGATTAGAATAAATGGAGCATTCCTATCAAATGCAGGGAACTAATGAATCCATTGGTAAGCTCCATTAATTTCAATACAGTGCTAAACATGTTAAATGTTATAAGAGAGAGGTTGCTGTGTATGTGCACTTTCTAATTTTTTCAATGCTAAATTCTAGCTGATTTTAGGTTCTTTTTTTAGTTTCCATAAAGCATGAATATAACCAATGTTTTCATGTTTAGAAAGGTAAATAAGCATCTGTTCTGTGGGTACAAAAAACAGGAAAAAATAATCTAAAAATATATTTTCAGTAGGACCTCCCATTCAAAAGTGGCTTAATTTAGTGCCTTAATTTTCAGAAAAGTTGTCTCAGGCCCAGAAAAAAACCTTTGCCAATTTTCATCACAGAACAATATTTGCTTTTATGCTAATTCTCTTCTCCCTCCCCAGTAAGATTTCTGTTATATAGGAAAACAACAATAAACAGCCTAAAAACCAATGTTATAAACATGATGGTATATTTTGCATTCCCATTTTATAATGCATCATTTCTGTGTATTGATGTGACACGCATCACATCAACAAACACTAATTTAAACTCCACCTGTTTTCAAAAATACTGCCACTGATAAATTTGGTCCATGGAATTTTAGGAAATGTAATATTCAAGACAGGTTAAGTAGGTGACAAGCCAAGTGGAAGAGTGTAAGGAAGTTAAAACTGACCATTCCTCCTCTTCTTATCACCCTTGTGAGGGGCAGAAGTGATTTGGACAATATGTAATCCCATTTACATCCAGTTAAATAGTGATCTTGTCCTTTCTGTAGCCACACTTTCATACACACCATCTCCATTCTTCTTCAGTTCCTACTGAGACTTGCATCTCAGCATAGTGCTTGACAGGAAATCAAGTCCTGCTGTAGGTTTTACAGTAGGGGGAGTACAAGCAGATTAACAACTCACCCTCTTAATTTCTCTTGCTGGGACTTGGTCTTTCTTTAGGGATTATCTCCATAGTAAAATAGCCACCATAGCTAGGAAAAAAGGGGGTAGAGATTCATTACAACACTTGCACTCTTCAGTGTATATACATCAACATATGTAAGGAATCACAGAAAAGCCATGGATTTGCCTTTTACTGGATTGAAAAAATCCAAGTTTGAATGTTTTCATCAAACTCCACCCATCTGATAAAGCTGCTCCACTGTACTGGAGTGTAAGAGTTTCTGCTGATGTCTGGTTTTAATGTCCCAAGACACCACTGTTATTGTCCCTGGTTATACACTATAAAGAGTTTTTCTCTACAGATTTTTATCTACCTTTCAGGCAATGATGGGCTACAATTAGATGTTTCTTGCCCTCATAACCTATATGAAAGAAATCTATCTCCCTCAACCTCTCCTTGAAGGTTTCCTTTAGGTTCCAGCTGCTATGATGGCCAGGCACAGAGCCATCTCCTGCTTCATAGCAGCCTTCTTGAAGTGTGGGGGGAGCTGTGAATTGTGAGGGGAAGCCTGGGCACATTATTCCAGCTGCTTTCTTACCAGCACTGAGTAGAGAGATAATTTTTCTTGATCTGCTGTCTATGCACTTAAAGCAGCCAGTAGGAGATGTTTGTCTGTGATCAGAGAGTATGTTGTTGGCTCATTTTCAGCTTGGCACCAACTTCCAGGTCCTTTTCAGCAAGGCAAAGTGTCTTTAAAGACAGATGCATCCTTTAGGGTGGGGAGAATGCAGTCTTTAAAACCAGTAACAATTGCTTCCTCCTCTCCCTTTCAAAAGAGAAAAAAAATCCCTCTGGCGCCTGCTTGTGAGTATGTGGTTAGAAACAATGATTTTGTTGAACCGAGAAACAACTAAAATCTGTTGTTTCAAGATATTGCCAGGTAAAGCAGAGTCTCTAAAATCAACTGGTTCACAAATTCTTTATTAGTAAAAATAGTGTAGGTTCTCCAAAGTACAAAACCACAAGCTTTAGAAGAATATTTTCACAAAACATTGAAGTACAAAGTTAAAATAGTAAGGCAACCTTCACTGCTGCTAATACATCAAGTCCTATATCTGTCTATGTGTTGTGACAACAGAAATCAAATAGAACACATAGGAAAAGTGCTTTCTTTTTTTTGGTATTGGCTATTAAAAAAAGGTCTCCCTTCAACTTTTTTTGATACCATTCCACAGTGGGATAGCTGTTATGTATGAATCTTTTTGCTGGAAGGAATTTGAAATTAATTGTAAACAGGAAACAACCCCCCTTTTGATAAAGTGGAATTTTGTTCAGTACCAGCTGTTAGTAGCCATTAGATGATAAGCAGGCAGATTGGAGAGATGTTTCTTGAAATCCTACATAGTATGCTGAACATGCTTTCATTGTACTACCTGGCATTAAAAGATAATGTGCCTTATTTGGAAATATGATGATCAGGTCTATTAAATCATGCTCAATCAGCTTACATAATAACACTTATATTTTGTTATTAATTTCAGATTTCAGAGACCTATGCCTTCCTACCGAGAGAAGCGGTGACACGATTTCTAATGAGCTGCTCAGAGTGCCAGAAAAGAATGCATTTAAACCCAGATGGAGCAGATCATAAAGGTAGTTTTAGTGTCAAATAGTTGGATGTAAAGTAATTTTATTTCTAATACCCATTTATACTTTCTAAGCTTAAGTGAGGGTTCATATAAATTTGGTAGACTGTAACACTTCAGTAAGTCAGATCATCTCATTTACTTAAGCTGGAAGGTAGTGAATCTTCTGCTTTCACTTAAGGATAGAGTGTAATGCCATCTACACCCTCAATAGAAAGATGATTTTATCTGGAGGAAATAATTTATTTTGCTATGGAAATGTTTGTATGGGAGCTTAAGCGTAGGGAACAGATAGGGTATACGGGCTGTATTCATTTAGGGTAGAAGAACTCATCGATTTTCAGGGTTTGATCTTGATTTTCCTTTTTTCTTTGAGAGACTTCCATTGTACAGCCTACAAGCGTTTGGAAATGCAAAAGTTAGAGCTAAATGACATAACCCTTTGACTTTGACTACAGAGTAGGCTGACATAGCCCCCACAATTAACATATAATGCATAATAACTTTTTCTTTTGCAGATAATGGAAAACCTCCAACTTTGGTGACCAGTATGATTGATTACAACATGCCCATTACTATGGCTTATATGAAACACATGAAGCTACAGCTACTAAACTCACAGCAAGATGAGGTAAAACCTGAAATCTTTTAAGTTTGTTTTTCTGTTCTCCTGCGTTCTTTTGTACTTGTCTTTGAGGTCGCTAGGAAGCTGAAGTGAAGATGATTGTTGATCCCATCTTTATAATTTTGTTGCTAAAACAGTCAGTCTGAAGCCAAGGCAGGGTTATTTTCAAGCAATCAGATTGAGAGAAACTATCATGAGTTATGGCCCTCCTGTGATTGGGGGTAGAGGTGTACTTTGAATTGCCTGAAGGTGCGCTTTCACTGGACCAGTGGAAAGGGTGGTGTGAGCAGTGTGTTCACTTCAGACTTAGTTCTGTGCCCAGCAGTGACCCATTGGCTGCTTTTAGAAGCTAGTACCATCAACAAACAACTGAAATGACTGCCATGGTGTTCTCAAGGCTAGCAACCACGATGCAACACATTTTCCTACAGTGATGAAAGTCCTGGCAACATCTGTTGAAAACTTCAAGGCAAAAAGCTTAATAATAAGAGTGTGAGTTGCTTTTTAAATTTTGAATAAAAAGGCAGAAAAAAGAAGGAGGAAAAGTAGACTGAGAATCAAACATCTTCATAGACAATTTGGCTTGAATTTTATTATTAATCTCAAAGATTGTTTGCTTTCTCTGATTTATTCAGTTTTCCCAGATCTCAAGAAATGCTTCATCAATTGACAGGCATATACCAAATTATTTGTAGTAACCTCATTTTACTAGAAGCTTGTTCATCTACCATTTAAGCTGCCAAATAGAAGCTCAACTATGTGCCAGACAAAAAACAGTTCTTCATTCTTTGTCTTCCTGCCCAGCTACTGGATATTTTTTAATATATTTTTTAATAAAGACAGACTTCAAAAACAACCTTAGCAGCTGGATTATGTCAAGACCCTGACTGACTTCTTACTTGTACAGAGTCAGCCAGATTTTTTTTCCCAATAAGTAGATATGGGCTGCTGGTAGAGATTTCATGAATTGTTCAACAGTCCCTGGAATGTTCACCACTCTTCTAGAGATATCAGGATCCTTGTTTCAGTTTGGTCATTTTTTTTTAATTGCAGAGGGTGTAGGGAGAGATCCCCAACTCAAAGTTCTTAATGCATAAATACAGCCTGGTAATCTTTTCTTTCTATTGAGTCTTTTGATTATTTGAGGGATCTGGAAGTAGAGTGTAAAGTAGCAGGAGAGAAGAGGCTTTATTCTGCAGTAGCCTTAAGAATTAAAGGACTCCTTGATTTCTACACCTTTTCCCTTTGAAAATTACTACTTCTACAGCAGGGTCAAGCACTCATGCTGGATCAGGACTCCATGCCACAGAGCTTCTGTAGCCTGAATGTTTTGGTGTAGCCTTTTTGGTCTGACGACTAAAATCTTTGTTAAACCAGTTTTTCATCTGACAAGCCAGTGGCAATGATATGGAGGCAGCAGGACTTAACTTTGCTTGGTACTTCCCTGCCCAGCTCTGTTTTGCAGCTCTTTTATTACATGTTTTGTATACGAGATGTCTGCAGCAGTGGGTTTATGAAAGTGATTTCTTATATGTTTTAGTAATAATAACTTTTTTAGGGTAGAGTGGGCACAAGGAAAGTTCTGGATTTATGAAAGTAATTTTTTGTATATTTTAGTAATAAAAACTTTTCCAAGACAGAGTGGGCACAAGGAAAGTTCTCAAGATAATCCTTATGTCTTTTCTCAAAGCACAGTTTTGCCAAGGTTTTCTTTTTCCCCCTTGCTGTACATTTGTTGCCCTGAGAGCAAAATGACAGTGAAAATATTGTAGTACAAAGTAGCAAGACATCTGGTTCAAACTATTTCATGCACTTAAAACACAGGCTTGGATTTGTAGGAAAGATTTAATCAATCATATCTGTAGTCTTGTGTGGAATTGAGACAGGAGTAAACTTGAATCCCACTCCTAGCTAGCACAATGAATTCTGAGAGAGAATTTCTGAATTCTCTCCTCTTCAATTCCACATTTTTAAGCTGACACCATTGATGAGAGGGAAACAGGCTTCATCTAAAATGAGAATCACCACTGTGTGGGAATTTAGAGCTGTACTGCAGTGGTTCTCAGTTTTTGCTCCCATGCCCATGTGTCCATGCAGATTCAGAAAGAGGTTTGCACAGTTTGGGAAGTGAAGTGGAGGTATTCTGCAGCGCTGTGGGCAAACAGAGGCTGCCTATGTGTGTTGTTTTATAACTATGCAAGTGTCAGCCAGAGCTCCCTTGCTGTGAGCCCATCAAATTGCCTAACTTCAGAACTGAAATATGTAAGCTGATGCTTGCTAGTTCCTGCAGGATTCAATGAGAAATATCCCTGCTTTTTAACAGACACAGCAATCCAGACGGTTTGGGGGAGTTTGTTTTCTTGTCTTGCTCTTTGAACAAGCAGAGTGCATTTTCTTTAAACCTCAGACCCATCTGGCATGTGCCCCGGCCCTGTCTGTCTGGGGCAGGAGGCTGGTGGGCACCAGGGTTCACCTGTGAGGGCAGTGTTTGGGTGTTTGCTGTTGCTGTAACTGGGGTGCTCCTGCCTTATGTAAGGCAAGACAGACAGGTGCCTGTTAGAGAAGCCATCACTCTTCCATTTGTTTTTTTACAAAACCCTGAGAACAAGATGTTTTTTTCCGTGTTTATTTGTCATTGTCCTGCTGTGGCAGTGCAGAACAGCAACACCTTGTGTGTTGTCCCACTCTTGCTCCTGACTGGCATTTGAAGTACTTCATCCTAATTTAACATGAGTCATTACTGCAGGGAACTCGCTTTCTGAAAACAAGAGAAATGTCCATGCAAGCTGGAAACATTGCTGAGACCCAGTGCAGGAACTGATTAAAATGTCTAACACTCAGAAGGAAGCAAGCAGCTATATTGATACCTGTAGTATCCACTTCACAACAAGTACACATTAAATTATATTCTAGAGATTGCTGTTTTTCTAGGTCAGTTCTGGTGAACAACCCAGAAAAATAGTCAGAATCCTGTCTTGTCCTGTTTTGATAAAAAAATGTACAAAAACAATGAACTGGAAAAATATTTCAAACATTTTCAGGATGTAGAAAACCATTTGCCATATTTTCCTTTAAGTTCTTTCAAGTACTTTTCCTCTTAACAGGATTAGCCATCTCAGAAAAGTTGTTACTGAAAATATATTGCCTTAGGTTTGTACATTGCCTTATCTATTTCCAGAGAAAGACTTGTGGATACTTAATTTCTAATCCATGAGTGGATGTGTGAACTTCAATGGGACTGAAGCAACTGAAGTCAAATATGTATTTGAATATTTTCTGGACTACATCTAAAACTGTTTTCTTTCATAAATGGGGATAATGATCAGGATTTTTACTTTTTGCCCTTTTATCATCCCTGTTAAATGCTCTGTAACTGGACTTGATTGATAAATCATATTAAAGATATAGAATGCAGAATAAATTTGCAGTGATTCTCTTGTGATCGTATTACTTTTATTTGCTTCTGACTGTCATGACCATGCTCAGAACTTTTATAGACTTTCTCTTTTTCATAGATGCTTCTTTAAACATGGTGTAAGTGTGACATCTTGTCAAGGGAATTTGATCATGGATTCTTACTAGGTCAGGTTGCCATTTGGAAATATCTTCCTGTGAGTCTTTGTGGTTTATCCCCAGCCAGCAACTAAGAACAATGCAGTGGCTTGCTTACTCCTCTACCCACTCTGGTGGGATAGGGGAGAAAATCAGAAAAAAGTAAAAACCCTGGGCCTGAGATGAGAAAAGTTTAATAATTTAAACAAAGTAAAATATACTACTACTACTACTACTACTACTGCCACTACTGATACTACTAATTGTAATGAAATGAGAGACAGAGAAGGAGGAATAAAATCCAAGAAAGAGATGTGATGCCAAAGAAAATTCCTTACTACTCACTGAATGATGCCCAGCCAGTCTTCCTGTGGTCAACTCCTTCCAGTTTATATACAGGGAATAATGCTCTGCAATATGGAATATCCCTTTGGGCAGGGCAGGGCAGCTGTCCTGGCTGTTCTCCCTCCTGGCTTCTTGTGCACCTGCTCACTGGCAGAGCATGGGAAACTGGAAAGTCCTTGATTTAGAGTCAGCACTGCTTAGCAACAACCAAAATACCAGTGTGTTATTAGCATTATTCCCATACTAAATCCAAGCACAGCACTATACCACCTACTAAGAAGAAAATTAACTATCCCAGCCAAAACCAGGACAGTGGTCATTCACAGGGTTACTGACTTCCATGTGGGAAACCTAAAGGATTCAGGCAGGGAATATAGGGATGTCTCCTCAGCCAATTTGAATAACAAGGGCTCAGTATGGGGTCTCTACTTACCAATTCTTTTCTGGAATATACTATGGAACTACTATGTAGTATCCTCATAGTTGAACAAATTACATTTGTCAGATTATCATACCACATAAACCCAGTATTTTCATTCCTCTTCTTGATGTGTTCCTTGTTGTCTCATATACAAAAATATTTAGCATGATTACACTCCACACTGGGTGTGAGTGAAACAAATGGGAAGAGAATGAGCTGCACATATAATGTGAACAGTGTACCATGTTTTCTGACATGTCTCTTTTAATTTGCAGGATGAAAGTTCTATAGAAAGTGATGAGTTTGATATGAGTGACTCAACTAGAATGTCAGCTGTGAACTCTGACCTCAGCTCAAATCTGGAGGAGAGAATGCAAAGTCCTCAGAACCTCCAGGGCCAGCAGGATGGTAAGGTTCTCATTTTGTACAGAGAACGTGGCATTGCCCTGTCTTTTTTCCCATTCTGTGCTTTCATTTAGAATTTGCTTTTCTTCATAGAGTGTTTCATTGTGTAATTTGAAATACATGTTCCCCATATCTCAGCATGAAAAAGAAATTAGGGTTTTATTTTGCAGGTTAATTTATTTGTTGCTTATGCAACAAGTGAGTGCTTAGATCACTATATATTAAGTAGTATTGTCTTACTGTGTCTATATATATATATATACATCTGTAGTGTGACCATGCACAGGCATAAAAGGAAATGAAACTCAGACCTTTCTGAAGCAACCCAGAAAGCTGAGAAAGTTGTTTTCACAAGGAGGGAGTGTCACCAAAGCTGGATAATTGGGAGAAAGGAACAGGAATGTGATATTCAGAAGAAAGGATGAAAACAAATTCCTATGGAGAAATGGAGGCAAAAGACAAGAAAATAGTGAGCGGCATTGCACATTTGAATGTTAATTGCTTCTTGTTTACAACACCAAACTACTTTTTGGTCAGAGATAAAACTGACTTATTTTGCATTGAAGGTGCATAATTGTGTTTGATTTCAGCCCTTGTTATATAGCAAGTTAAATGAGTCTGGTTTGGAATGAACTTTCTTCTGGATTATGGAGCTCACAAATAGCCTGTCTACTACAGACTGTGACAGTGGCTCATGAGCGACACAGGAATGCACAACACCCAAAGTGCAGGTGTATTCTATTGCAGTTAGAAACAACACACTGGAATTCTGTACTTGCTACTTGGGAATTTCCTGATTATGCGTGGCAAATCGGAAGTTCTTTCTATATTTTTCTTGACCACTAAATAAATGGGATTTGATAGCTAACCTGGATGCTTTGCACTTGATGCATCATGGTCATTTGCTAGCTGGTAAGACATTTAGGTGAGAATGGGTGTGGTGCATAGTGGCTGATAGGACCTGGCTATGGGTTGCATCTTCAGCTGGGTTGCTTTTCAAACAAAGAAAGGAGTAGGATGTCTGTGATAATTTGATAGGCCAGATTCTAACCACAACTGCCTTTTGTCTGAGTGCCCTCAAGCTATCACAATTTTTTTTTTTAAACTTTCAACCTTATTTGTCTATATATGTTCACTAAAGGAGCAATTCTGATGCACATGGTGCAAGAAAATGTAGTTCAGTTTCCTGCTGAAGTTTGACTTTTCACAGGGATAATACATTACAGTAATACTGCTAATTTAGAGGTCTCAGGGATCCTTAGGAAGGTGCCATTTTTTAATATATCTGGCTTTCACTGCAATATTATGCTGTAGAAGTTTCACATATATAATTTCTTAATAATAATTGCATGCATGCATATGTCTGAAACAAAAATTATAGCTCAGTACAATAACCTGTGAAGAAATGCCTGTCATACACATCTTAACACCTGCTGCCACCAGACTCATGCCACATCTAATCATATTAGAACCTAAGTATGAATGATGAAATGCTGCAAATGTGTCACTTGCTATTTGAAATGTATGGGAAATAAATCCACTGTGGTCTTTGAACTTCAGACAGTGTGATCTTACAGTATGGCTTTAAATCTCTCAGCTTTCCTTCCTTTCCTCCCAGATGGTACTTGCTTACCTTCCTAAGGCAATCCTATTTTTTGCTGCTAAAGTCTTCTGGCTAAAGCATCTGCTGATAGAGAGGTTTGAAATAGCATCTCTGTTCCTGCTTCATTGTTTTCCTTTGCTAGCTGTTGTCAGGTAGCAAACCTAAGTGTGGCTAGTTATAGCAGCAGTGCTGTTTCTGTTGTGGGAGAAGGGGCTGAAGGAGGAGCAGAAAGACATGAGAGAAGTGGGGGGAAGAAGAATGAGAGGAGAGGGCAGGAAAAAAAAAATGGAAGAAAATAATCAATATAAGAGGTAGACGAAGGGAAGCTGGAACAGGAAGGGGGAAAAATAAAAAAGGAATGTAAATTAATATAGCAGTACAATCTCTTTCGCTGTCACAAGGCTGCATTGTAAAATTTTGCAAATTTAATCCTTAATTATAGTGCATGTACACCAAAATCATCACCAAAGCATGAATCTGTGTCAAAAGTGATTCTTGCTCCCTTCCCTCAAACATTCTGTATGTCTGTGAAAGTTTATGTCAGCCACCACATTCAGCCTATAGATAAAGACACTTGGCATTTGCCTCATCTGAGACGTGTTTGCTGCATCCTGGCAGGTGGAAACTTGCTGTTGCATAAGGTTGCCTGTGCACATGCAGTTGGAAATGGGGTCTGGAGGGGAATGGGACAGCACTGGTCTTCTGCTGCCCCAAGCATGCTTTCTTTGGGAAGATAATTTGCTAAAGGGAATCATTAGGAAAACTGCTGCCAGGGGTGGATTAAGGACAGCTCCGGTGTACCTAAAGGTGATGTGTTTAATCACTTTACTTACCTGGTTTTCCATGTGAGGTAGCATAAGAGTATTTTGGGACATCCCCTGTTTGTTTTTTTTTCTATGGATTTGAACTGATTTGGTACTAGTATGTAAACAGTCTGTGTACCCTAGAGGAATATAATGGTGAACTGGGCCATGCTACTGAGGATGGAGGCTCCTCTTCCAGTTCAGTTTATCAGAGCATCAGAATTTTGACACTATGTAAAAGAAATATGATGCTTTCATAGCTTCACCCCTTGGGGCTGTACTTGCATCCTATTTAGACAGGCCTTTTTCTTTGGGAGTCCATTACAGGGCTCATGTTAGAATGTTTGAGGTTTCCCAATGTCTTCCAGCCCAATACTGTGTCCTGTTTCTTAGGTTGCTTGAACCTAAATAGAATAAAGGCAAGTATGAGAGCAAGTCACAGTGCCAGCTGAAAGCAATAGACTTCTTCACCTAGAAATGCCATGGTAGGTGAGAAAAATGCTGAGGAGGAAGGGCACAGAGACAGAAGGTGCATATTTGCTCAGAGTAGATGATTGCTGGTACTGCACAAAAGTCCTGGGCTCTGCAAGTGGACTGAGGCTTCATAATACTTGTACTAAGCTTATTAGGTGGAAAGGGTACAGGGAATTAAGGAAGTAATGAAAAGTGTGGAGAGTTAGTGAATCGTATCTATGGCACTGAACTTGCTGCAATACTACTAAGGACAGTTCCCACTTTAAATTAGCCTTTGTACACTTTTAAATAAGAGGATCTTGAGTCACACCTGCTGGTGAAGGGCTGAAAATAGTATCCTGAGCACCTGCAGGGCTGCTGCAAGATGGGGTAGGAGTTGGAAAAGGGCTACTGCACTTCCCTGGGGAGATAGAAAAGGAAAGGAGCTCTAATTTACAACTGGTTCAGTCCCCAGCTGGGAATGGGGTATGGCTCTCTGCTTACCAGTGCCTCAGAGGTGCTTTCTCTAGCAGCCAGCTGGATAATAGAGCTGCAAATTGCTCATGTGTTCTGTTCTCTTTTGCTTGCCTCTTGCTTGCCCCTGTTTTCTTGCTTCCCTAGACATGGCACAGTTCTGTGTCCTAAGCTGGTTCTTTGGAGTGAGCACTGTGTGTAACTCATCTGCAGGCAAAGCTCCCACTAGAAAGGTATCTTTAATTCTCCTTTATCTTAATAATGCTCTTGGGGCTCTGATGTTGCTGGATCAAACTCTTGCCCGTCTCAGACCAGAGACAGCAGGGAAGATTTGTGAACTGAGGTGGAAATAAAGGAGGTTTTTTGTTTTTTAAGTTAGAGGTTCCTGTTAAAAAAAAAAGAGATTTTTGTAGTGAAAACTTACCTCTAGCTAGGTTTTCAAAGGAGCAGCAATAGCTTCTACCCTGAGTGAAAACAGGACTTTTGTTGCCCTTGCCTGTTAGCTGGAGCCCTGTGCAGAACAGCTGGGTGTGATTCTCTCCTCACTGTGGTAGTTCATTAGTTACTAAGGCACGAGATATGTAGGGGGATGCTCTGATTAGTGAAAGTTAAGAACATGTACAACCCTATAAGTGAGGAGAATTCAGTATAAATTTGACACTGCATTTTTTCTTGTTTGTTTATTTTTTACTGTCAAGTGACCTGTCAAGTAAAAGTCAGGAATGAGACTTTTTGACTGTAACTCAGTGAAAGATGCAGGACTGATTTATTTTCAGTATATCTCACTGTACTGAGGTATAGCAGAACATATCAGGGATTAGATTGGATTTGGGTGAGGGACTATATTCTCTTTAATCTAGTTTTTAGAAAATTGTATGTTTATACATACATATTTATACACAACTGCCTCTCACAGGCACTGTGTGGAGACATATAGGAGCTTATAGGAGCTAACCATGACAAAATATGTCAGAAGTGAATCTTTAATGGGGGTTATGCTGTCATTTTAGATGTAGAGATTAATAGGTTTTTTTCTGTTTGTTTTTTTTCCCAATTTATAGAAAGTTGAGTAATAATATTGTAATGCAATGGAGGATTATGTCTTCAGTTAGTTTGTGATCACTTGGATGGTGTCAGTTCTCTTTCCTTGGCATGTTCAAATTGCCACATTTTACACAATATAGATGCAGGAAACCTGGCTGTTAACATTAACTGTTCCTTTCACTCATTTGTGTTGGTGACAGATACAAGTATTGGAGTCAGCCATCTAAATACCTGTTTTCTGCATCAAAGCTATAATCTCTACACAATGGCTTCATCTGAAATAAGCAACATTAGCTGATTAAGTTGTCAAAACTGACTGTCTGTGCAGGAGTGCAGACTTGCTGTTGATTTTTCTCTCTGAACAAAGTCCAAGCCAAGAGTTTAATCCATCTTCACATTCCGAACTTCTTGTACTGTTGTACTTCTTTCTGCTTTTGTCTTTATTCCACTGAAACCTGGACTCCCTGTCTTGAAACACTGACTTTTCTTTCTTCGCAAAGCAATTTAAATTCAAGATATATGAGTCCAAGCACCAACTGCAGGCCACAGTGAGGACAGATTGGTGAAAGAGAATAATGGAGTAAATTGTCTCTGCTGTTGACAATGTAGTGGCCCTGCTCTTGATC